AAAACCATGTCCACAAACATCTGGATATCTGGATCATAAAACCATGTCCACAAACATCTGGATATCTGGAGCTCATAACGGAAAACTTGATTGGTTCAAGATCAGACTTCATAACAATTACAAATCTATATTTGAATTGTTGTTGGAAACATCTGTATCATGAGCTTTGACAGGATTATTGTATATTCATGTACATTTAATCAAGTACTTTATTTCCATTGTATGCTACTGATTTAGTCTTCTTTAACTCCACTTCTACAAACTACTACTACACACTACATTGATTTGACAGTTTCAGCTTTCAACATTAAAAACATGCAGTATTATACTATAATACTATAATCTAACCTGTAGCATACAAAGTATTTAAAATAGACCACATTAATAAACTACAACATTAAACCTGATAAAAACAGAATATTTTATAAAACACTGTGAAAGGACCAATTCTGCTCGATGATTTTATTTACTTTTGATACTTTAAGTACATTTTGCTGATAATACTTGTGTACTTTTACTTTTTAATATTTTTAATCCGGGACTTTTACTTGTAAAAAAGTATTTTTGATGGTATTTTTTTAAATAATGAACTTAATTAATGAGCCCTTTAAACAAACCACAAAGCTCCAGAGAATCACGCTCTGGTTCCTGTTGTTCCAGGTGTGGAGAGCTGCCCTGCTGGCTGGCCAATCAGAGGACAGGAACTTGACACTTGGAGCCAGTCGGGGAGTAGAAGAAGAAGAAAAACCTGCAGTTACAAAGACTTCCCACCAGGGGGCGGCGGTGAGCCGGAGACAGACACTGTAGCAGGCATCAGCAGCTGGACTCTGACTCCGCCTCTAAACCTGGTCACCATAGAGACGTCACGATAGTCAACAGACATGGCGGCCGACCTTTGACCTCCCGAGGACGAGGTCACGGAGAGGTCAGGAGGCCGGAGGGATGACGACATGCTGTAACATAACAGTTTGTGTGTGTATGTGTGTGTGTGTGTGTGCATAGACTTTATAGAATGATGTGTCAAACAATTCAGCCAATCAAATCGCAGTACATTTCTCTCGGTCACGGCTACAGTTGGTGTGTAAACGTGTACTTTAGAGACATTGTTACACCTAAGTTACCTTTATTAAATATAAATCTACATTTACCTGAAACTTTTTAAAGTTTGAAGTTAATAAATTATAAGTGGAGCAAATGTTACATTTGGTTGCAAACTAAGAACTTCCACTTCTACTCCACCAGGGGGCGTTTCAGCTGAAGAGTGAAGTCATGTGAAGTCATGTGTTAAAGCTGCATTCTCTCTAGTGTCCACCAGGGGGCGACTCCTCTGGTTGTATAGAAGTCTATGAGAAAATGACTCTACTTCTCTCTTGATTTATTACCTCAGTAAACATTGTAAACATGAGTTTATGGTCTCAATCTCTAGTTTCAAGTCTTCTTCAATACAGCATGATGTTCATTTAGGAGTGATAGAGAGAAGGGAGGAACGATTTAAAGAGTGAAGGAGGGAAGGAGGGAAAGAGGGAAGGATGAAGGAGTGTATTTGTGAAGGTTTTTACTGCAACGCATGAAAAGTAACATAAAGACTGTTTTTGTTTTTTTTAAAGACTGTTTTTTAATTGAGTCTGATTGCTGCCTTAAACTCACAATATCATCTTTAATAACATTTAAAGAAGCAGAATGTCCCTTAAATGTGAACCTGAATCTGCACATTTCAGATGAATTTATTTAAAAACACAATGAAGTGACGTGTTTCTATGTGGACGATCTTTAATAACTCACCAGGTGAGATGAAACCTTCGGCTCACAGTGAGACGAGGAACAATAAAGTTTGATTTGAACAGATGGATGACGGACGACATGAAGCTGTTTAGATGTTTGAGTTTTAACTCATATTGTTGTTCTGGTTGTAACACAAAAATCGATAAACACATTTTCATCTCCTGATTTTGTCTTTAATTACAGTTAATTATAGATAATTACAGATGGTTAGTTAATAACAGTTCATTACAACATTAAAACATCTCAAGAGAAGAGGTCTCAGCAGAGCGGATGATGCGCTGCAGCCTGCCCTTGTCCTTGGCAGTGGCTGCAGTGTACCAGACCGTGATGGAGGAGCAGAGGATGGACTCAATGATGGCTGTGTAGAAATGCACCATCATTGTCTTTGGCAGGTTGAATTTCTTCAGCTGCCTCAGGAAGTACATCCTCTGAAGAGCCTTCTTAGTGATGGAGCTGATGTTGAGCTCCCACTTGAGGTCCTGGGTTATGATGGAGCCCAGGAAGTGGAAGGACTCACCACGTCGACGGGGGAAATCACACAGGGAGATAGGGGGAGTCACACACGGTGATAGGGGGAGTCACACAGGGTGATAGGGGGAGTCACACACGGTGATAGGGGGAGTCACACACGGTGATAGGGGCTGGTGGGACTGCATTCTTCCTGAAATCCACAACCATCTCCACTGTCTTTAGAGCGTTGATAAGTTGTTCAGACTGCACCAGGTCACCAGATGGTCAGTCTCCCACCTGTAGGCGGACTCATCCCCCACCAGAGATGAGTCCAATGAGGGTGGTGTCATCTGCGAACTTCAGGAGCTTGACGGACTGGTGACTGGAGGAGCAGCTGTTGGTGTACAGGGAGAAGAGCAGAGGGGAAAGAACGCAGCCTTGGGGGGAGCCGGTGCTGATGGTCTGGGAGGCTGAGACGTGCTTTCCCAGCTTCACGTACTGCTTCCTGTCAGACAGGAAGTCTGTGATCCACTTGCAGGTGGAGTCGGGCACGTGCAGCTGGGAGAGCTTGTCATGCAGCAGAGACGGGATGATGGTGTTGAAGGCAGAGCTGAAGTCCACAAACAGGATCCTGGCGTAGGTTCCTGGGGAGTCCAGATGCTGGAGGATGAAGTGAAGGGCCATGTTGACTGCGTCGTCTACAGACCTGTTGGCTCTGTAGGCGAACTGCAGGGGGTCCAGGAGTGGGTCGGTGAGGGTTTATAGGTGGGACAGGACCAGGTGCTCAAAAGACTTCATGACCACAGAGGTCAGGACGACTGGCCTGTAGTCAGTGAGTCCTGTGATCCTGGTTTTTTGGGGACGGGGATGATGGTGGAGACCTTGAAGCAGGCTGGTACTCTGCATGTCTCCAGGGAGGTGTTGAATCATATAAACACTAGAGCTCACACCTGCTTTATATCTGTTAATATATTCTTTTTTATTTTATTCATCTATTAAATCTATAATTATTATAAAATTATTAAAAATATATCACAAATCAACAACTTTGACTTGTTCTACATCTTTTGTTTTTTTTGTTCCTCTTTGTTCAGTCTGTAAACATTTATGTTTTTACTTTATACATTAACTTTAATAAACGTTTAAACTAACGAAGTGCTTCATTAACATTTGATATAATAGATCTGACTTCAGAGTGGACCTTCAGTCAGAGGTGAGGGTTCAACTGATCTACAGTCAGAGGTGAGGGGTCAACTGATCTACAGTCAGAGGTGAGGGGTCAACTGATCTACAGTCAGAGGTGAGGGGCGGAGCTATAAATCCGGAGACCTGAAGCTGAAAGACGTCAATCCCCTCAGAGGCTCTGTGACGTTAAAGGGACAGTAGTGATGTTTACAATGAGGTACTTATACACAGTCAGTGTATTACTGCAGTACAAACAGACAGGAATCAGTACAAGTTCAGGTGACCGTTATATTTAGGACATTATTACCTCTTTATCTTGCTGTCAGTGGAACTGTTTCTATGTTCTTTTCTTCAGACTCACCAGACTCCATTAAAGAAAGAAGCTTCTGCTGAATCATCTGTTAGTGTCTCCTGGAGGAGCTCCAGAGGGAGGAGAGCTCAGCTCCAGCGTCTCCGTCTCCTCTTCCTCCTAACCCACCTCTTCCTCCTTCTCCTCCTCCTCTTCCTGCTCTTCCTCCCTCCTTCTCCTCCTCCTCTTCCTGCTCTTCCTCCCTCCTTCTCCTCCTCCTCTTCCTTCTCTTCTTCCTCCTTCTCCTCCTCCTCCTCTAAAGAGACTGGTGCTCAGAGACACTACCACTGTACTCCACAGGGGGCGCCAGAATCAACACAACATGAAAGTTTCTCGTAGTAACTTTGAGTATAAGTAGTAATACCACAGTGTAGAAATACTCTGTTACAAGTAAAAGTCCTGCATGAGTATTCCTACACTGTGGTATTACTACTTATATTAGTAAGTAGTATTGCGGTCTGAGGAAAAACAGTTGATTATGAATTGAATCAATCTTTATTAATCATTAACAATCCTAAAAGACAATCACATTTACATGACCTGAAGAGAACCTGCAGTCTGGTTCTGTCCTCAGTGTTAGTACAAACCTGAAGACCCTGATCCTGAACCTGATCCTGGTTCATAGAAACACCAAGAGACCCTGGTTCAGATGGTCCTCCCAGTACAGACCAGTACAGACCAGTACAGACCCTGAACTGGGAGCTGTGGGACACTCCCACTGTCCTCCGTCCTGTTTCCTGTCCCGTCTCTTGCTTCTCCAGTCATGTTGTTTGCTTCCTGTCGGGTTGTACCCTTTCCTGTCTTCTTCTGCCTCCTATGGCTTGTCCTATCTTTTGTTTCCTGTTTCCTGTTTCCTTGTTTCCTTGTCTCCTTGTGTTACTGGTTGTTGTCTGTCTTGTCTCATTGTGTCTCTTTCATCCTGTAGTTTATTATCTCGTCACATTCTGGCTGATCCCTCATGTGTTTTAACTCCCATATTGTCCTATTATCTTCTGTCCTCGTGTCCTCGTCGCTAGCTCTGAGGAAGGCAGATGGCTCCTCCTCCTCTCGGAGACTCCACCATGTCCAGTTGCCCGGAGAACGTCCTGGGACTGATCGGCTCGCCCCCCAACAGAAACCCCACGCCTCCTTCTCCTCCCACCCCGTTGTCCCTCTCCGTCCCAGCATGCATCCTGCCGGATGCCGATAGCAGCCGGAAGTCGGAGTGAGCGTTGGCCACCGTGTGGCGCCGCACGCCGCCGGACTTCTCCAGGTAGGCCTCGCCCTCCTGCTCCACCAGCGGGGCCAGAGACGAGGAGTCGCAGGAGGAGCTGTGGTGCTGAGTGACGGTGATCTCCGGCTGGAAGTGGTCGCTCAGCAAGGACCCCGATGACCTCAGGGGGCGGGGCTCTGGACGAGGAGACAGGAGACAGGTTGAGAGTTAAAGGTTTTAAATTCTTTGTGTGAATAGAATATTTCCACTTTTCACCTCCAACACAAACATTCTGAAAAGGTTTAATAAGAAACTTTTCCTCATTAATTACCAACTAGAAGTTTGTTCTACATGTTAAAGCTGTTTACTTAAATCGTCCCAAATGTTGTCAGTTTAATCAAAGTAAAGGTGCGTTTCATTTGTTCACCTGTCAGCTTCAGCTCAAAACACGTTTTTTAATCACACTTCTTTTAGATCTTTGCCGGTTGTTAACTCTTTATTTTAACCGGATGAAAGATGTTAAGTTATCAGAGGAACAAGCTGAGCTGACGTTAGCAAAGTTAAGCTTTGTTTATTTTCACGCTTTGCACCAAATCACGAGCCTCAGTCAACCTCCGGTTCTCACAAGTGAAGTCAAAGCTTCATGTGTTAAAGCTGCATTCTCTCTAGTGACCACCAGGGGGCGACTCCTCTGGTTGTATAGAAGTCTATGAGAAAATGACTCTACTTCTCTCTTGATTTATTACCTCAGTAAACATTGTAAACATGAGTTTATGGTCTCAATCTCTAGTTTCAAGTCTTCTTCAATACAGCATGATGTTCATTTAGTACATTATGGTCCATTTAGAGTCACACAGACCATAAAGCAGGGGATGCTTTAGGGCGGGGCTACACAGTGATTGACAGGTCTCTGAGCGATCATAAAATAGTTTATTTATAATATCTAATGGTCTCAGCTTTTAGTTAATATTGAAGGTTGATGCCAAGAGAAACAAGTTTAAACTTGGACTCTTTTGTTCTATTGAAGGAGTTTTCTTTTGCCCCAGCAGGGATCAGGCTCTCTGCTGGACTGGTTCAGGTCCCAGCAGGGATCGGGCTCTCTGCTGGACTGGTTCAAGTCCCAGCAGGGATCAGGCTCTCTGCTGGACTGGTTCAGGTCCCAGCAGGGATCGGGCTCTCTGCTGGACTGGTTCAGGTCCCAGCAGGGATCAGGACCCTATTCTGCTCTGTGTGTTTCTGAAGGAAACAAAAAGCTGCTGCAGCAGATTTCTGTTAGCATCTGTTAGCTACACGGCTAAAGGTCAACGACATGAAGGAGGAACAAAAGTAGAAACTTTTGTTTTCAGATCCGGACGAGAGACTTGATTTTGATTTTGTATTAAATTGAGATGATTTCAAATGGTTTTTTTGTCAATAGTTTTTACTTTATTCAACTTTTTCAATGATCTTTCCTTCTTTTTAAAAAAAAAAATGGCAAGAAAAGGTTTTTTCTAAATTAGTTTTGAATAAAAAAGTGAACAGTTTTAATTCCCAAAATCACATCTGAGTCCTTTCAAAAGAGTAAAAAGAACGTACTGCTGTAAACGCATCACAGCTGATCGATCTGAACATTTTAGGGTTTCAGAAAACAAGTTATTTGATGACATCACTTTTTTCTATTTGTGTATTTTTCACTATTTTCTGACCTTTTCTAGAGTAAATCTTCAATCTTCAAGATGTTTGCGTTTCTTTCTCTGGTGTGTGTGTGTGTGTCGTAGCAGTTATAACACACACACACACACACACACACACACACACACACACACACACGGCAGCAGATTAAGCAGCTCACCTCCCTACTGAGAGGATTTAAATGTATTACTACAGAGCCACGCCCCCCTGACCCCTGACCTCTGAAGACCTGGACCTCACATACTTCAACAAATTACTTTGCTTCATCACAAGTCAGACGAGCTGCATTCAGGAGAACTCCAACACGTGACGTCTAAATCACATGTTGCCGTTTCCCACAAGCACTTGAATGCACCATCTGAATTGTGTGTTCATTTACATTTTAATGTCAATAATAACTCATTTTTAGCTGAATTTACACAAACAAATCGGCCAGTTTTCAGATTCAGATTCACCTTATACAGATGTCTGTGTGGCCCCAAAATTAGGCTAGATTAAAGTCTAATTTCATTAAAGTCTAATTTACTTAAGAATAAAGACAGTTCAAGTAAAGATATCTGAGGCAGAACTCACCCAACAGGAGCTGGTTCCTGTTGTGAAGAACGTTGCTGAGATACGGAGACACCACGACCTCCACCAGACGCTCCAACTGGTTGTACTCCAAACTGGGAGCACCGGACTCGTGGATACCCTGACAGAGAGAGTACATGTACACGGAGAGAGTACATGTACACAGAGAGTATTTGTTATTTTATGTCTTTGTTATTAAAGACAAGCAGAGAGAAATAGATGCAACATCTTTAAACACGACAAGTTAGTGTATGTGTGTGTGTGTGTGTGTGTGTGTGTGTGTCTTACCTGCAGCACCAGCAGCATCTGAGTGACAGGAGGAGGGACGGAGGCTGCAGTTCCCAGCGTTTCCTCCAGGTGGAGCTTCAACAGCACCAGGTCTCTGAAGGCCAACAGGGTCATCTGCCTCACCGTCAGCTCCTGACCCTGAACACACACACACACACACACACACACACACACACACGCAGACACACACACGCACACAGACTTTAAGTAGATCAAATGATCCCAGATTAGCTAAACTTACAATCTTAATGATCTTCTCTGCTCATTCTCTAAGTGGTAATTGAGCCTTGGCTAAGCCCCGCCCACCGCTGCTACTCTAATTGAGCCTCGGCTAAACCCCGCCCACCGCTGCTACTCCGTCAAGCTGTCAGAGCTGCGTTACCGTGGAGACCAGTGTCACGTAACAAGTATCTAATATGTGATAATAAAACTAAGAAATGATTCGAGAGAGAAGCAGACAGAAGGAAGGAACACTGTTACATTCAGTACACCTTCTGTAGCTAGCGTAGCATAGAAGTGCTAACGCTAGTTAGCGACGTGCTAACGTACTCCACTAATGTTTAACACGACGAGCTCCAAATCCACTAAAACCAGCCTGAACATGAAGAACATCTGGAAACAGAGACGAGTCTGTGTAGCAGACGCTACGCTGTGATTGGACAGTCTGAGTTCAATGGGGGCGGGACATAGCGAAGGGTCGGTTGCAGGTGTGTTTTATGTCTCCATGTGTGTGTGTGTGTCTGTATGTGTGTGTGCGCGTCTGTCTGTCTGTCTGTCTGTGTGTGTGTGTGTGTGTGGACCTGGACTGGGTAGAAGATGGCCTGCATGGTCGGCAGGATCTCTGTGAAGAATCTGTCCCACATGTCGGCGAGGACCACCAGCTGGTCGTCCCCTACGAGGAGGAAGTGATCTGTTTAAACCATCTGTAACGTTACACTGAACCTCACTGACTCACAGCGACGCCGTACAGCAAAGCATCATGGGTAATATGTGAAGAGAGGACGAGGGTTTGCTACGAGGAGCTGCAGACAATAAGACCGTCTTATAAAAGTGTTTAGCACTTTAAAGGAACTTTAATTTAGACACAAGTTTTTGAATTAAATCTAAAAAACTCACATGAATGTGTTTTATGCTGCAGTATAAATAAATAAATAAATGCAAGATGCACAAAAAATTAAATAAAAAGCTCCTGAACGCTAAAATAAACTTCCCCTCAGGGTCATTAAAGCTTCTTTATTGCTCTTATTCTGAAAAGGCATGTTTGATCTTGCTGTTTGTCAGGACCCAGAAACCAGTCTCACCGGAGTGAAGGAGGACCTGATCCAGGACTTCAGACAGACCTCGAGTCAGCAGCTGGTTCTGAAACACACACACACACACACACACACACACACACACACACACACACACACCTGAGACGTTGTTATATATATATATATATGACACATTAAAACTAAATGAATCCAGATCAACATATATTACAGGAAGTGGCCCAAACGAGAAGTAACGTTTTGTATTTGTTGGATTTAAAGAAGCGTTTTTCTCAGAGAGCACTTCCTGTCTGTATGATGCAGAAACGTGTTGAGACTCAGAGGAACATGCAGAGAGCCTCGTCGTGTGACCAGATGTGAGACTTTAAACCCTGAAGGAGCTTCTGGAACTGAATGAAGTTAAAAGAAAAGTTTAAATGGTTCCTTTTTTATTTTAAACAAATATTATTTCAGGAGACTCGAAGAGAAGCAGAAATAACAACAGAATGAGGCTCATTCATAAAAAGTCTGAATTCATGTTTTTACAGGTTTGTCAGCAAAACGACTTTTAAAACGCTGGTTTTCTGACCACAGTTTAGATGGATTAATATGTTCACAATGTTACTGTCTATTGTTCATACACGCGTATATGTATACACGTCATCAGGTCTCTGTACAAATATGAAGTAGAGCTTCAGATACAGGAAGTGGAGGAACACTGTAAACAGGAAGTGATGAGTGAAGATACCTGAAAGTAATCAGTGATGAAGGAACCCATCTCAGTCTTCAGGAGCCACCTGTGAAGACAAGAGGTACACGGTGTACTTTATACTGTACTACACCTCAGAGGTACAC